TCATACCGGACGGGGTATGATGATTGGTAATTGTCGCTCATATCGGACGTGGTATGTAAACGATCCGTTTACCATCATACCGGATGAGATATGAGAGATGATATCCCTATAGACCTTCACGGATACTAGTAGGTTGATAAAAGGAAAAGTTGTTGTTGTCGACTGATTACATATGATATTGATGATATTGTTTATGTTATTGACTCTACAGATTGATTTTTTGAAAATCTCAGTACGGTAAGTATGCGGTAAATGATTTTATTTATATTTATGATAAAAGAATTTACTTAAATTAAGAGTTCCATTAGTTATTTTTATAATTTCTACTAATATTTATTTCTGTGTCGGTGAGTAGCGTGATATTTTTACTGGGTTAGTGTATCTCATTCTTTTATTAACTATTTCAGATTAAGAGAATCAAGATCCAAAGCACGATCCACAAGAGGGTTGCGTGTAGGATGCCAGTTATTTATTTTTCATTTACTTCTTTAATTTTTTGTTATTTTTTTAAAAGGGTCATTTCCATAACCCTATTAAATAATTTGAATTATTGTGTAGAAAATATAAATTCTAACTATTTATTTCCCTTGTACTAAATTTATAATTTATCTCATTCGAAGTTTCTGGGTCGTTACAATAGATTATATATATATATTTACAAATTATATATACATATACATATTTATGTAATTTATATAAAATGTCTTATTTTAAAAAAAAATTAAAAAGATTTAGCTCTTTGATTTTTCAGTTAATAGGAATTTATTATCTTAGTATAAATCAAAACTAAAGTAGAACTTGAAAATCAAAGAAACAAATTAATTGGTTGAATTAACCAAGCTTCATTATATTAATTATAAAATATTAGTATTATAACGGTTGAATTATAATTTTTAAAAATTAATAATTTATACACTAATAAATAATATTTAAAAAATGAATAATTTATTTAGTTTAAAAAATTAAACCAAAGACAAAAAATAGTAAAGTTAGAAGCTGTGGAAAATTAATATGGGAGAAACCAACGTGAAAAGCGAGGGGGACATGTAACATGTTGGATTAATGGCAAAATTAAATTTAATAAAACTCTCAATCCACTATTTAATGAGTCAAAGCAATTAGTGCTTGCACAAACTTTTATTAACTTCATTTAATTCAATATTTTTCAAAACCCATCAAAAATTTCCACATTGTACCTTTATATAGGTTTTTTTTTTTCTTAATTTATGTTTTCTTTAATAAAATTATCAAAGATTAAAGAAGAATAACAGTCTAAAATATGATAAAAATATATTAAAATGAAAGTTTGAAACTTTAAAGATGACAAATTTATGTCAATTCAATTAGATCAGACCGTATTGAAATATTTTAATTTAAAATAAATTGAATCGAATAGACCCAAACATTAAAAATTATAAAATATTTTCTTGTTTGTTAACATGTGTGTCAATATATATATAGAATTTGTATAGAATTTATTTGCCAAATTATATTTGTTTTAAATGAGA